ATATGTATATAAATATATATAATTGAGCTGTTTGCTTTATGTTTATCTAAATTAGACTAGACAGCTGAAATCTATTTGATTTGCTTACCTTTAAAAATAATCTATTAATTCACAATGAATGTGAGTTTTCTGTGAGGCTGATTCTTCAGATAATAGAGTAAATCATCATCATGTGGAAATGTTAGATCCCATTCCTGCCTTAAACAAAACATAAACTGTGAGCTGTACGTGTGAACAACTGTCATGCTGCCAACCCGTTTTCCGTCAGTCTGGTATGAAGTTTTTTTTTTTAAAAGCAGTTTTAACGTTTCTGTAGCCTTGCTTACTTTTCACTAAAATCCCTGCATTGTTGCCAATATTATGGGTATTAACTTTATACGTGAATCCAAACACGAAAAGAAAAAGGGAAATGTAATACTGACACTTACTGCCAAATTTAATTATACTTTATCAGACACAGAATGCCATATTTTATTTAAGCTGTCCTTTTTCAGATGAAGTAGCTAAAATGTTAAAACATGTCCCTCAGAGCCTGTTCACAACTATTGTTTGAATCCGTCTTGATTTCATTTTGAGATGTTTCAACCACCCACACTCAGCTCTGATCAGTAACTAATTATTTTGTTATCTGTTTTCTTAATGTGATACAAAAAAATTGAAAGAAAAATACTCCTGTTTTCATGGTTTTGGTTTTAGGCTCTTAATCTGAAATGAAGATGGTATAAAACCTGAATGTTCCACAGATGTGTTCACCTCAAATTCTCCAAACATCTTGTCATTGTGGCCAAAACGCTCCATCTTTGTCTCATCTTGACTTTTGTTTCTTTAAAGAATGCTCATAAACTTCTGACTGTAACAGATACGTTTTGGTAATCAGCTGTAAGTTTTAGATTTAAATCAGCAGTTTCAAATTTTAATATTTATCATTGACCACTGTACTTAACTGCTTAAAAACACAGAAAAAAATTCCCACGTGTTTTTTAGTTAAAAAAATCCATGTTTTCTTTTTTTTTTTTTTTTTTTAAAATACCAGAAAATTTTTATGGCAATTTTGTGAGAAAATTAGTAAACTCTAAAAAAAAAAAAAAAATTAATTAAAAAAAGTTGTATTAAATAATGAATGAATTAATTCAAAATTCTAGTCCGGAGTTTTGCTATGATAAATATGGGATCAGAAATTGCATTTATAATGGGATTTCCTTATGGTGAAATTTTCCCTCAATGAACACTAGAAGGTAGTAAAATGACTGAGTTTTATGGAGCATTTCAAACAGTTCTGATAAAATAAATAGGTTTTAGAAGGATTTTAGGTTTTGTTTACTGGCAGCACCAAAAAAAAAAAAAAAACACCCGTCAAGAATGAGTACAAGATGAGTGGCTGATTTTTCCCCATAAGAACTTTTGAAGGTTAAAGGTTTGTATAAATCAGTTCCTAATGCTTTGAAAATAGATAATTAAACAGTAAGTATTATAACACTTTTCTTTTTGTCTATGCAGGATTTTCAGGAAGCAATCCATGACTGTGATCACCTCGACTATGCTACTGGGAGGTCTTTTTGCAGTAATTTATTTTTACGATTCTCAAGTGTTCACAAACTTCAACACCATGTTTGTTGATTTCAACGTAAGAAGCATCAACAGCCAAGCAGAGCCATCCAACAGTAGTTTGTCTTATAAATTCTCCTGGCCAAACTGTGGACAAAACCAGTCTGCAGCCAACGTCACAAACTTTAGCTCGCTTCCTGAGATCATAAGAAACTTTCTTTACACCCGCCACTGTCGACATTTCCCCATGCTGCTCGACATTCCTGACAAATGCGGCGGACCTGATACATCGGCAGACGTTTTTCTCCTGCTGGTCATCAAATCCTTGGCTGTCAACTACGATCGCAGAGAGGTGCTGCGCAAAACCTGGGCTGAGGAGAGAAAGCATAACGGCGTGTGGATCCGGAGACTTTTCATCGCCGGAACAAAAAGTTCCGGTTCTGAGAGAGAGCGACTGAACCAACTCCTCAAGATAGAGCATCGCGAGTACAACGACATTCTCCAGTGGGACTTCGATGACACCTTTTACAACCTCACCTTAAAGCAAATGCTTTTCTTAGAATGGATGGAAAGGAATTGCCCGCGTGCCCGCTTCCTGATGAACGGCGACGACGACGTCCTCGCCAACACGGACAACATGGTTGTGTATCTCCAAAACCTTAAGGATAATGACGGAAGCAAGCATCTGTTTACCGGCCACTTGATCCATCATGTGAGTCCCATTCGAAACCCACGCAGTAAATACTTTGTTCCAGTTCAGCTGCATGAGCCAAACGTGTACCCTCCTTATTGTGGTGGTGGGGGCTTCATCCTGTCTGGCTACACAGCTTCAGTCATATACAACATGTCGCACTCCATCACCTTCATTCCCATTGATGATGTTTATATGGGAATGTGCTTAGCTAAGGCAAAGCTCCAACCTAGCCACCATCTTGGAGTAAGGACTGCAGGACTCCACATTCCCAGTATTGATTCATACGATCCGTGCTACTACAAGGAAATGCTTCTTGTTCACAGATTCCTCTCAGGCGACTTGTATTTTATGTGGCACAAATTACACGACCCTAATCTGAACTGCTCTACAAGCACGCAGATGTAACAGACGTCATTATGAACTCATCAGGTGCTTCAGGTGTATTGTACTGGAACTGAAGTTTTTGTGTTTAGCCCTAGCTCGACTGCTGTCTCTCTTCCTGTAAACCTTGACTCTCTTGAGCCATATCTCAAGCAGTCTGTTACGAACTTGGGGATGATTTTAGACTCTGATTTTAAGTTTAATAAACAGATTCAATCTGTTTTGCAGAAAAGCTTCTTGCAGTTAAGGCAGCTAGCTAAGCTTAAGTCAGTGATGACCAGACTTGACTTTGACACAAAACTCCATGCCTTCATAACAACTTGACTTGATTACTGTAATGCACTTTATGTTGGGGTCAGTCAGGTCTCCTTTTCACAACACCCAAAATGCTGCAGCTCAGCTCTTAGGAATTTGTAGGCTTGAGAATATTTCACCAGTTTTGTCCTCCCTTCACTGGCTCCCTGTACATCATAGAATGGATTTTAAAATTCTCCTGTTGACCTTTAAATGTCTAAATCGCCTTGCACCCTCATAGCTCTCCGACCTACAACAACCTTATGTTTCTTCTCAAGCATTGAGATCATCTGACCAGCTGCTTTTGGTTGTACCAAATACCAGGCTGAAGCTTCGAGGTGATCATGCTTTTTTAGATGTGGGCCCTAAACTTTGGTACAATCTGGCCCCCAACATTAGACAGGACACTTCACTTCCTGTTTTTAACTCTCTTTTTAAAACACACCTGTTTTCACTGACTTTTAACTAGAGTTGCGTTAGGGCCCAAAAAATCCGCCCCAGCCCCAGCCCACAGTCATCAATTCCAAACCCCACCCGACCTGATGATTTAAGAGTAATTATAGGTCAGAACCCGGAAAAAAAAACTTATTTTTAATTAGTTATTAACAATCGGGGATGCGTGGCTGAATAAAAGGGGCAGAAGATCAGAGCTGAGGGAGTGTTTGTCCTTTCCTGGCCGTCAAAGAGCATTAAAACCCTGTTTCTGCCTGCATTCTTCTATATTACTCAGACACAGACCGCTCTGACACGTCTGCTTTGGGATCTCACCTGTTTGGGTCATCGGCCGTGCGCGTCTGCTGAGTGCAGCGGCTGAATGAACGTCCATTTGGGCAATGGATCGATTCCTGGCAGTACAGTCCCATCTGAGGCTTGACTGAGCTTTTTACCTCTTTCAAGGCTGGTCAGCTTGTGGTGAAATGGCTGCATGCAGCTGGTGAAAGTATGGCAAGCCATGTTGCCATATAATTGGATCGCGGCTGATCTGCTGACCCAATCAAAAGTCCGACACCGACCTGGCCCACCCATCCAGCACATTAACAAGGCCCGGCTCGGCCCTAATATGGGTCGGTCCGAGCCGAGTTGCAGGTTCGGGTTAGAAATGAGAGCTCTACTTTCAACCCAGTTTAGTATTGTATTGTTTTGTGTTTTATGTTTATTTTATTTTGATACTATTAAATTAATTTTAGTGTTTTTCTTTGAAGTTTTGCCATTGTTGTTTTTTATCTTTAAGCACTTTGGTAACAAATGTCGTTTTTAAATGTGCTTTATAAATAAATTTGACTTGACTTGTACTAACGTGGAAAACACTATATATCCTACAAGTTGATGGTACGTGTAAAATATTTAAAACTTTAGAGCATTACTAAGTAAAATGTTGTGTTAAGTAGGAATGTGGTAGCATAATGTATATTGTCATCTTTTTTTAATAAATCGTAACAAGGAAAATATTCATTCAAAGGAAGATTTTTAAAAAGTGTGGTGCTTACATTGTATGAACTATATCTTTGAAAGCTTAATAAAAAGAAGCAAAACTTTTGTTTGATTTATTTGACTGATTAAACAAAAGTGGACAGCGTAGTGGCAGAGCTGCTGTCTCTCAGCGAGAAGGTCACCAGTTCAAATTCCAGCCCCGGGACCTTTCTGAGTGGAGTTTGCATGTTCTCTCCGTGCATACATGGGTTTTCTCCAGGTACTCTGGTTTCCTCCCACAAACCGAAACATGCATGTTAGGCTGATTGTAACTCTAAATTGTCCCTAGGTGTGAGTGAAAGAGTGAATGGTTGTTTGTCTCATTTGTGTCTATGTGTCCCTATGATGGATTGGAGACTGTCCAGGGTGTACCTCGCCCCTTGCACAGTGATTGCTGGACATGGGCACCATTGACCCCCATGACCCAAAAAGGAAGAAGCGAGTAAAAGATGTCAGATGGATGGATAAACAAAAGTGATTTTAGATAGGAAGCAAACATTTTAGGTCTAATTTAAGCGGTGGTGCTCATAATTTCACCCAAATACATTGTAAAAAGAAAGTATGTCCTCTAAAATTGCATATCAGGTCACAGATTATTGCCTTGCATGGTAGTTTTATTCAATCAACATTCATTTATAGAAACGTATCTAAGAGCCAAATGGTAGACAAAGTGCTTTACAGTACAAAAGTTAAAACAAACAATATAACATTGCAAAAGTGTCAGAGTGCCACTAGGCATTAAAAGCCTTCCTGATTAAAAAGTTTTAAGAGTAGATTTAAAGACTCAGGCCAGTGATAGGGTAAGTCCTGAGGAAGTTGTTCCCACAGTCTAGATGCAGTGACCGATAAAGGCCCTTGTCATCCCAACATTTGTACTTGGATTTTAGAGCATACAGTCAAGGTCTTCACATAATCCTGGAAAGTTGTTAAATCACTAAATAAGTTGGGAAGAGACCATTGAGAGCTTTAAAAGTGAACAATAAACCACTGAGCTGACAAAGGCAGGTCAGGATGATAAAAAAAAGGCTTAACCTTGGTTGAAAGACGTAATTGAAAAAAGCTGGCCTTGACTACAGAGGCTATTTGTTTATCAAACTTCAAATCCCTGTCAAAAGTGATCCCCAAGTTTCTAATCTTGGATGTCAGAGTACCAAAGTTACATGGAGCATCATCCCCAAATACAAAACACCATCTTTCTTTCACTTCGTTAAGCCACTGTTTAATGCTGGCAATGCAATCAAGGAAAGAAATTTGATGGTTAGTACATCTAGGCTTCATGGGCAAACAAATCTGTAAGTTCTTCACATAACAGTGGAAAGAAAAGTGATGTCTGGCTATAAATGATCCGAGTAGCAGCATGTATTAGAGTTGCATTCAGGCCCAAAAAATCCTATCCGACCGGCCCCAGCCCGCAGCCATCCTTTCCGAACCCCACCTGACCCAATCAATTAACAGTAATTACAGGTCCCAACCCGGAACCCCCCCCCCCCCCCCCCCCAACATTTTTTATTAGTTATTAACGGTCGGGGACGCGCGGCTGAATAAAAAGGGCAGAAGATCAGAGCTGAGGGGGTGTTTGTCCTTTCATGGCCGTCAAAGCGCATTAAAACCATGTTTCTGCCTGCATTCTTCTGCGTTACTCAGACACGGACCACTCAGACATGGACCGCTCTGACACGTCTGATTTGGGATCTCACCTGTTTGGGTTGTTGGCTACGCGTGTCTGCTGAGTGCAGCGGCTGAATGAACGTCTATTTGGATGGGTCACTTCCTGGCAGTATAGTCCCATCTGAAGTGTAACTGAACTTTTTACCTCTTTCAAGTTCCAGTCAGCTCACGGTGAAATGGCCACATGCGGCTGGTGAAAGTATGGCCAGCCATGTTGTCATATAATTGGATCGCGGCTGATCCGCTGACCCAATCAAAAGCCCAACACTGACCCGGCCCGCTCATTCAGAACATTATTATGGCCCGGCCCAGCCCTAATCCAGGTTGGTCCGTGCCGGGTTCCGGGTTCGGGTAAAAATGACAGCTGTAGCATGTATAGAGAGTAAATGAGAGGACCAAGAATGGAACCCTGTGGCACACCACAAGAAAGAGAAGCACTAGCGGAAGACAGACTTTGTTGGTCAAATAAGAGGTGAACCATTTGCGTGCTGAACCAGATATCCCAACATAGTGTTTAAGACAATTCAATTCAGTTTATTTATATAGCGCCAAGTCACAACAAAGTTGTCTTAGGGCACTTTACAGAAACATTCACATAAAGTAAAGTTCTCTATCTAAGGACAAGACAGAAGGACAACATGGTCCACTGTATCAAGCAGCTGCAAGGTCCAGCAGCTCTAAAGCAACATTCTCTAAGGAGTGTCAAAACTTTCTCGATAGTCTTTCTGGTTCAAAATCACTGTGCACCTTCCTTTATCTGCTGGAAGAATGATGATGTTTTTGTCCTTGCTAAGAGTTGTGAGTGCATCCCTCTCGTCTCTACTGATGTTGGAAGGTGGTGGTTTATCATTGCTGAGGCAGGCTGAAACTTTGATTCTGAGTTGTTCTGCTTCACCCTCTTTAATTTTCTTGTAGCAGATGGCTGATTCTGTGGCTGTGATCATCTCCACCAGAGGAACTCTACTTGGTGCAACCACAAAGTTCAGTCCCCTGGCAAGAATCTCTGTCTCTGGCTGGGTGAGCTCTCTGTCAGATATATTCTTCACCCACTTTTCTGTCTCCCTGGCATGTAATTATCTACTGGAGTGTTGTCCTACACTGAATGTGTTGTTATTGTAATTGCAAAGGAGGCCATCTTTGTGAAAATAAATCATCCATCATTAAACAGGGGTGGAGGCCTCTGTGTTCAACTGTCCCCCTCTTACAATGCTGTTATTGCTAGTATCACTCAACCCTCTGTGAATAGTAAACAGCCACCAGTGTGCTAATGATCCATTGTTAGGCTGATGGTCCTTCTTGATCATGTGATCAGCTGCTGCATCTGGTTTTAGTTGGCTGCACCAAAACTGGTTGATCCACTCTGAGAAGGTGCTATTTATAATACTGAGCTGAATACAGCTCCTCAGACTGAGGAAGTCTTTCGGATGAAAGAGGAAACGTTTCCACATTTTTTGTTGTTGTTTTGCTTTGTTTTTTTGAATGTCCAGAGGACCAGATTTAACTTTTTTAGATTTTTCTGCCTGGATTATTGAGCATGCATCAGGATATTTTGAAGGGTATTTTTTTTACCATAGAGAAATATTATTGTTGCT